ATAATCAAAATAATAAATTGCTAGATGAGTTTAGAAACACTTCTCTAAAGATGACAAGAGAGAGGGAGAAGAGTGAATGCTCAAACACCAAAGGATGATCTCCACTTGTCCTTGTGAAATTTGCTTCACAAACAAAACTCTTAAACACTCTTTTTAACAAACACAAAACACCCTTAAACTTGTTTAAACAATTCTCTTGGTTGGGTTGAAAGAGAACAGCAATAGGGTATTTATACCCACTCAAAAACTCAGCCAAAACCCCTAACAAAAGACAAAAACAGCCCCAGCAAACAGCTCAGAAAAATAGCCGTTGGAAGCCAACGGATCTATTGTCGGTCGACCGGCCTAACAAAAGACAAAAACAGTCCCAGCAAACAGCTCAGGAAAATAGCCGTTGGGAAAGCAACGGATCTATTGTCGGTCGACCGGAAATTCTGTCGGTCGACCGATGGAGCTCTCGGTCGACCGACCAACTCTCTGCTGCATGGTGACGAAAGAACAAATGATCGGTCGACCGGTGCGGTCGACCAAAAACTGACACAGCAGAAAACTGATATGCTGATTTAAAACACTATTTAAAAATATCAAATAAATTTCAAAAAATGTAAAACTTTGGTGAATGATTGTAGACATGATAATAAACATGCTACAGTGACTGGTTATCAGAAAGGACCTCCCAAATGAAAATATCATCATTTTACAAAATAGTCCAAAACATAAAAATATGAGATACTTGAATTTTGATGTTTTGACATAAACCAACTTTTAAAACTTTGTGAAATGTTTTTATAGACTTAGTAAAACATGTATAAACTTATATTAAAGTCTATAAACTAATAAGATAATATTTTCACAAAATTACCTATTCTATGCATTGTTTTCAAAAACACAATAGTAAATATGAAATATGTGATTTCATATTATAAACATAAAAACTCAAAAACTATGTATGTATATATATAACTATATATATGCATAGAAACCAAAACTTATGTATATATATATAACTATATATATATAACACCTCTGACACAATCCACTTATCGACTCTCTCTAATAGAGCGATAGGTCCTCAAAGTTGCCTTGATCGCAACAATCAACTTATCGACTCTCTTCAATAGAGCGATAGGTCCACGGACCAGTCAAGTTAACATCACACATCTGACGACCAAATCAACTTATCGACTCTCCTCAATAGAGCGATAAGCCCATAAAATACTGTTAGGTTAAAAACACTAGACAAATAACATTAGTAGTAAATTGTTTGTAAATCATCATCAAAACAAGAAGGCCAACATGGGTCACTCGGCCGTGCCCGCTTTTAAGATCCACCTAAACTGACACTATCCTCCTCGAGTCTACACGCCAACCAACTCCTGCTCCCGTAATTACTCTGAATAATTATATGCTGACAATTCTACTGCTAGAATTACATTTGATTCTCTACACCAGTCTTATCCGTCACATACTTATTTGCACTATCTGCCATCAGACCTGTCTTGTTACCACCATCAGAACTTATCAGTACTTTTTGACCAATCTGAGCAAAATCTTAAAAATCAAACCCTCTCATCGCGTTCAAAGCACTCCAAAACTTATAAATCGACCCCTGGATCGCTACATTTCGCCTCCGATTCACCCATCTGCTGATGAATAAATATGGACCGTCAGATTAAACAAAACACCAAACACCACCAATCAACCAGCACCAGATCAACAGGAAATCCCACCCATGTGATTGATACCTTTTCTTCTATCTTAACCCTGTTTTCACGCCGGATTCCACCTACTTTTTTAAATTAATCCAACGCCACACGTGACCGTACATGTGAGTTTCTCCCAATTCCACTTGGACAGAGAAAGAACCCAACTCCTTGCTGGTCACTGCCAATAGTAGCCAAAACTTCTACTTGGTGGTGCTAGATTGGTCGGTCGTGCCTCCAACAGACGTAGCCACCTGCAACGACCCTACACCGGCGCCTCCCATCAGTCGCCAATGATCCTCCCGCCCGCAATCGCCAGTATTTTTTTCTTTTTCTTCATCTTGATTCTTATAACGTCACCGATCTTCACTTTTGTACGGCATAACTCGCTCCTAGATCCATCACCATGGCTCTAAGAGCAACTCCAATGGGGGACTGCATTTTGCAGTCCCCACTTTGGCATATTCTATGGAATATGTCATTTTAGAGTTTTACAACTCTAACCATACTCCTCCATTTCCAACTCTATTTCAATTTCTCTCAATTTTTTAATTTTTTTACTTATTTTAAAAATATATAATGTAATCATATATTTAAATAAAATTAATTTTCTTTAATGAATTGATAATGTAATCATATATTTAAATAAAATTAATTTTCTTTACAACTCCAACCATACTTGTTTTGCAATTTTATATTTCGATATTAGTCTCATTTTGAAGGTATCGACGAGACATTTCCAATGATATTATTTTTATTAAAAATTATTTAATATATTAATATATATATACATATTTTAAGTAACTATAAAAAATAATAACGGGATACAATTGGAATAATGAAATGTTGTTAAAGAGATTGAGGGTTAACTTTGGTATTTTTTTTTTGGGAATAGTAGTATAGAGTTGGCTGCAAATTTGGAGAGAAATCTCCAAATTTGCAGCATCAATCTCCGATTTTGCAGCTAACTGCAAAATATGCAGTTCGGTTGGAAATATTCGCGGCTCCAAAATGAAGATATCGCGGACGATTGGAGTTGCTCTAATACCACTTGTTTGGAAATTTTAGTCTCCTCGCATTCTACGATCTCCGCAACTCGGAAGCTAACGTACAATCAATAAGATAGAAAACAACTGCAATCAAGAAGAAAGCACACCGAGATTTACGTGGTTCGGTCGACCAACTTCGACCTACGTTCACTGGGCAATAATACGAGAAAATCAACTATGTATTAGGGAGAACTACAAGAGGAATCATTCAACTCTCATCTCTCAACCCCACATACATAATCAATTCTCATATTTTCTCTAAAACTCACTTCTTACAATTTTTTGAACGAACAATGGCTGCGAAACCCTCTCTCAATGTTGTAATCTTTTGCACGGACAAAGACTACGAAATTCTCGCCTCTCCCACAATATTCTTGAATCAAGCTATGTCCTCTGCTAACTCTAGATTACAAAAATATTGGCTATCTTTCCTCTCCTTGTATTTTCCTCCAACAATAGAAGAATATATATAGGACACCAAAACTCTAACTCTTGCCTAACTTCCTAATTAATATGATTCAAACTCTTAATCATGATGTGACTCAATCTCCTAATAATGATAGATCTTTAACCCTATCTAATTATTATGAAATTATACAAAGAACTAAAGACATAGTCCCAACAATCAGAAGCCAGATGAATGAGATTCTTGGCTCCTGCACATTTTGTGCAGGGAGCGAGTCTGGCAGGCAGGTGGATTCATGTAGAGCCTAGGTGTTCAGTCGTAACCCTACAATTTTTCAAATTTACACAAGCCATTGTAATATTTACAATGCCATCTCTATAAACTATAAGAATTGCGACCCAACTTATCTAAAAGAATTAGTAGCAATATTTAAATTAGCCCATCAGAAAGTAGAAGTTCATTTAAATTTCCACAGTAAAGTAATATTGGCTCAACAATAAAAACCAAAACTACAACCCTAAAAATTAAAAGTTCATAACCTAAGAATCCAAAAATAATACTAAAACCTAAACGCGTTGCTCTAAAAAAAATAGTATATTAAGAATGCAAAGTAATAAATTAGTTTTGTTTGTCAAATAGTTCATTCAATTTCACTAAAAATTCAAGTATACTAAAGTATATATAAAAGGAACATATGGTTAATAGACTGTTCTTTACTTTGAGAAGTTGAGTCATATAGAAATTTGACATTGCATAAAGGAAAATTTGTACTAACAATTATTAATAAATTAGGATAATAGCTTGATATGATTATATTGCTTAACTCATTTTTAGGCCTGGATAAATATCTCAAGAGAAAAAGTCACCAATGGAGTAACAACCATCAACTACTCCAAAGCTCAACAATCTTGAGAATTCACAGCCTAATACAAAGCAAAACAACAAACTGGACTTAAAAGATCTTCCGACAGATCGGGACTTCGACCGAATATCATAGATTATCATTCCAATGATCGAGATGATATTCAAAAGATTTATTATAAAAAGGCCCTCATCAATCACACTAACATAAATTCAAATAAAAAAAGGAAAATGATTTGAGTCATTTTAAAAAAAAAACTATTTATCAAAACTTTTGTTTCTAGAAGATTCATGTGTATTACAATGAAATCCAACATACAGGTTTGCTATGTTTCAGAATCTAAATTTGAGTTTATAATGTCCACATCTTGCATGCGACCATGTTATTTGTCAACTTGCCAATCTGTTAGAGAAAAAACATCACTGTGGACTTTATAGTTCAACCAGTCCGGATTGGATAAGCGAATACGGCCAACGCACGGAGCCCCTCTAACTTGGTAGCTCAATGGCTCTTGATTCTTCTTTTTCCCAATTTGTTTTAATTTTTTATTTCTTTTTTTTTGAAGTATGAACACCTTTAACACTTCTTTAGAGCTGTATAATATTAGCACGCTGGAGAGCGCAACAGATCACTAGGTGCCATTTTACTTAATTGGACGGATATGCTTGATGTAGGCTGCAAGTTCCTTTTTCTGATTCTCAGCTTCTTTTTTTTTTTTCCCATTCATCCAGTGGGTTACAGTGGTTTGGCAGACGAGACATTTGCATAATGAACACAGGAAACTGTAATCAGCTCGTCAGAAATCATGAACCATGCCAAATATGCCGTTGATCTCATGCGGATCATCAACCTTGTCCGGAGAAAAACTGCAAAGAGATTCCTCCAGCATCTCGAAGGGCAGTTCTCCTTATCTTGATGAACAGAACAGAATCCCAACAGGGACTTGCAGCTATCAGCTATCAACGAACAGAAGCTTCAGATAATTGACTAAAATTTACTCTTTCTCGCTTTAGATCATACGTATCTCTCACCAAATACACAATAATTGTAGGCCAAAAGGAACAACTCCAAAGTATTACTCACTTAGATATCATGCAAATCAAAGGATCGCATATATACATAATACACGTATGAAGTATATCTAAACCACACCTGGCGCCTAAGGCGTCTAGTGATAATTTACACATATCTAAGAACTCACCATATACACGGCCAAAATCTCACCCACGTAACAGGGCATGGTCAGGTTCCTGTACAATAATATCACTACTGCATAACCACTTGCCAAGGGCAGATCCACATTAACATCACACGACTTTGGGTATCAAAAGGCTTTTTTCTTCTTTTTCTTTTTTTCCCTTTTTTAAAGGAGGATACTGACAGTGAAAATAGTTGTTAGCCTATCCATCTGTTCGGCCTATTGTTGTTGCTTGGGATACAACAAAGCCAAAGGTCACATTTCTTCCGTTATAGATAAAAGGTTTATCCATAATTATTCAACTTTGACCCTGAAATTAGAATGTGCGGTTAGTGGCTTCTAGCATGGATATGTTTTTTGATAAAGCACACTAAGTCAGAGTCTACTTACATGAATGAGCCATTCACAGCCTCGTCAGCTTCAAGGGTATTGTTAGCGCTTCCAGACTTGGCATCCTCAGAACTGACTTCATATGATGCGAGCAATTTCCGCTGAAAAAGCGTGGAAATTTCAGTGAATAATATAAAGGGAATATATAAGTGATGAATGTATACAACATTATACAGGTAATCTGATACGTATATGGATACGGTTATAGCAAACCATAGAATTTAGAATGCCTATATAACAACAATAATGACTTTCTCATGCACGACTGTGCGCGTGGGCATGTATATGATCAGCAAGCTCAAGCATACTACGAGATCAGTACCGTTCAGTTACATTTGATATCAACCAGCAGCATTCCAACTGTCCATCAGATGATTCATATCTATGTTAAAAACTAAGCCAATTCTAAGCATGTTTAAATTTATGTTGTATATTAAGTTTCTTCTGAAAGTGGGTGATCAAACCATTAGCTGGACTGTACATGCGAACACAAGAGAAATCAAAGTGCGTGAGATTGGCCTTGGATCCTTCATACGTATAGCCCAAGGACCAATTAACAAACAAAATTTCAAATTTCTAACAGATGAAAGATCTCTAGGTTGAGATCAATGGAAGACCAAACATCCATGAAATGCTCGCTTCTGGACCTACTAAACCCAAATTATTCCAAACCTCGGGAGACAATGTAACGGCTGAAGCCTTACAAGCTATGAGATATAGATTAATGGCCGGGAGAAGGTAAAAGTAGGGATGTAAAGTAGGCACGTTTTTTATGACTATATTCAGCAATCAATTAGAATTGTGATCCATATCATCCATTAGAGTTTTAACTTGTAGCCTTCTTTTTATATCTACATGACCATGTGAATTTTAAGTATCCACCAGGCTCGACCAAAGTATTGGTTGGATATCCCATGAGCATTTGTTGTCTACTGCAATATCCAAGACCTACAGTACTACTTTTTCCTTCTCATGGATGCAACTTACTTTATCAGGTCAAACTAAAACAGTAAAAATAATATATAGGAAATATTTATTCACCATATCTCTTGACATTCTATCTCTTGTCGTGGATGTAAGTAGAGAGATGCCTGAAAGTAATCAATTTCTCAATTTAGGATATAGATGGTGAAATTAGGGATGATGTGGTCCATCAAAGCAAATCAGGATGGTTAAGTAGAGTAGTGCTTCCGGAGTCCTTTGTGGTTGAAGAATACCTATGATATCTAAAGAGAATTCTAAAGGATAGCTATAAGACTAGCAAATACTTTTATAGATCAGGTTATTGAATACTAAGAACACGCAAGAAATAAGTGTGATAGACTTAAAAATGTTAACGATGGACGTACAGATTTACACTAAGATATAGGTTAATAAATGAATGTATTTATAGAATTTGCAGTGGCTACTCTTAAGGATAAAGTGAAACAGAATCAAATGAGGTGACATTTTCATAAGCCATGTATTACAAATTCCTAATATGTACATTCCATTTGTTTAGATTGACTAATTGGTAAACTTGAAAAACTGACAAGCGGCCCATTTAAGAACTAGATCTCAAACTAGTGTCCATAGAAAATTAGCATTGGCAACAAGTTCCTCAACAGTCTTCTTATATGTTAAACGGAAGAAAGTTCCTTATGCATCGAAATTTTTTTTTTATCCAATATCTTTCAAGGCACGGTTGAAAAGACCACAATAAAAAATGAAATGCTAAATAAAGAAGTTACAAATGTACAAAAAAAAACAGAAAACAACAAAATTATTTTTTAATTCTAAAAAAGAAGAAAAAGAAATTAAACAAAAGTCAACAATTCCCCACCAATAATGCCAGAACAAACTTATTAAGCACATAGTTGTATATGGTAAATGCTAAAATAACCAACTATTTTGCTGCAAATGTACTAATAACCTGTTTTTAAACTAAGCACCGTGCAAATAGTTTTAGATATGTCAAAACTGACAAAAGATCGATAGTACAGGAGGCCAACTAGGGACTCACTTCCCTAGTCGTGAAGAGCAAGTACAAACTTAACTAAGTTAAATTAGCAGTAATTTGAATAAAATACAAGGATGAAGTTACATACATGGTCCTCAAAATCAGGGCTTGTCAAATTGACAGAGAGATTCCTCATTAACAAAAGCACCTGGAGTGTAAATATGCAGGTCAGCAATAAATGCAATCAAACATTTAGCATGTAAAGTTAAACCGGACAAACAAACACTGAAAACTGGGTTAATGAGAAGTAATGCTTCCATTGACAAATAAATTTGCATTAACAGCCAGTTACGCATCAATTTGGCCAGTACGTCATCATGCAGATATATAAGACAGTATGCTGTATGTGAAATCTTAAAAGTCTAATGCAAGTTGAACAGATCATCACAAATCAAATACAAATTTACCTTGATATAGATAGCAAGATAGATCACAAATCAAATACAAATTTACCTTGATATAGATAGCAAGATAGAATTTCTTAGTCAGCATAATACAAAAAAAGTTGTGAATCGTACAATGACACTCTCACACATTTTCCGTCCATTAGGACATGACAACTCCCTCGGAAGGAAGCACCAGCCATAAAGTCATTTTTCATGTTAAAGTGTTAAATAATTTTGTCACCAACATAACAACAGAATACAAATGCTATGGTCAGAATACCAACAAGTTGCCACTCAAAAATTAAAACAATAAGTAATAACCCTAGTTGAATATGTCGGCCATTTGCATTACAATCCAAATGAAATTCCTGTATGTCAGGGTATCTTTTTCCAAGAAAATTGTGTTAATAATGTAATACAATTGAATCCAATATTATTTTATATTTTGTATCTACTGATACCATAATTCAGTGGGTGTTCTTATAGTAAAAGTGAGATTACAGCTACTGGTGTGAACACAGATGTCAACACAGCCTCCATATTTTCTGTAGTTATATACTTTTAATTTATTTAACATCACCTTTTATGAATTATTCTTTTAATCTAGTGAAATATAGTACTGATGTTTATTTTATTTATAATTATGAGATTTGGAACGGAATCCACTGCTTTAAGATTTTCTTACTAACAAGAATCTGACATTTCCCTAAAAGGGAAATTGGAAACAAAGTTGCAACTTCCAAGCACTGCAATGGTTTATCAGCTTACTACAGTATTTTTATTAAACAATTTGAATAACCTAATTGTTTATATTAAGACCCTAACCCTCTCACCAACACCACCAGCAGCACAACCAAAACAAAAAAGACCACAGAATCCTTGCTCCATCCACTGTTTTAAAAAGCCTCCGCCTAGTCTGCTTAGGCATGCCTAGGTCTAGGTGGTACCTAAGCTACCTAGCTAGCACCTAGCACCTAGCACCTAGGTGGTACCTAGGCTGCCCACCTAAGTTTCGGGGGTATTTATGAGAGCATTGTCTGCTTACGTGGATTGCATCATTTAGGCCTAGATCGTGACTTTTTTGTATTGCAGCATCCACGTCCTCCAACCTCCTTCAAACTCCTTTAACCTCCAAATATGAACATCTCCACTACCTCCTCCGACCTTTAGCAAAACCTCCTCCACCACCACTTTAATAAATAAAGAAATCTACCTAGACATCAGTCCGACATCTAAGCTTTCTATAGCATTGACATTTCCTATTGATTATTGTAATTAAACAATAAAAAAAGAAAACCTCCTAGACTCTAGGCGTCGGCTCCAATGCATAGGCCTCCTAGCACTTTCTATAACCTTGTTAGTTATTATCTTGGCTATTTAGTATTTAAGTATGCATGGTTTATTGTGGATATAAGATTGCTATCCTTTTTTGTAAATTTATATGAAATTAATATATATTTATCAATTATTATAATTAAATAATTTAAAAAATATTCAAACGTCTAGACACCACCTAGGCATACGCGTAAGTGTCTAGGCGGTAGGCTCTGGCTCAAACGCATAGTCCGCCTAGCGTCTTCTGTAACATTGGCTTCATCACTTATCCCGAGAGGAAGGTACAAAGAACACAACCAGTAATCCAAAGCCTGAACTTAACCCCCTAACCTACCCAACCATAGATGTCGCTGCCAAAGCCTTACCACAGCATGAGAATACTAGAGAAGCAGAGTACTCAAACGGTTTGCACTTGTGGATGCACATTGTTAAGGATCTATATTATATACAAAAAGTCTAAAACAAAAGCCTTAGTTACCATGAAGCAAATTCTTAGACATTTCACTTTCAAATTTCTATACTTGTATATTAATTACTTATTGAATTTTCCACAACTCTAATTGATTACAATTAGTTCCAAATTAATAAGTTTTGTAATTATAATTGAAATAATATTTTCTAATTTATATAATTTTAAGAGTTAAAATAATCTAGAACTATCAAAATCATAATATTGCAATATGAATGTCACAACAACTTTGTAATCAATGCACGGGAACTAGCTATATATAAAATTCTGAGACATTTCACTTTCGAATTTCTATACTTATACATTAATTACTTATTGATTTTCCACAACTCTAATTGATTACAATGAGTTCCAAATTAATAAGTTTTGTAATTATAATTGAAATAATATTTTCTAATTTATATAATTTTAAGAGTTAAAATAATCTAGAACTATCAAAATCATAATATTGCAATATGAATGTCACAACAACTTTGTAATCAATGCACGGGAAGTAGCTATATATAAAATTCTTATTGCAATCTAGTTGTCGTGAGAAATTAGAATAACCCCCCTTTCAGCTGCTCAGAGATATGACAACATATTGGTTCTAATTCTAACTAACAATAACATCGTAAAATCTTCCAGAGATCACAACTCCTAAAACAGAGGGACAGGCATCATTCTCAGCAGAAGCATGAGCAACAAAATTAAGATATGAAAGACGCCATACCGTCTCAACATCAATTGGATCCATTTCTTTTAATTTCTCCAGATGACCACTTGTACTGGGGTCAAAGACGCTTCCAATAAAGCTGTATACTTGAGAAAAATCTGGCATAACTTCACAAAACACCAAAAAAGGCATAGAAAGTGAGAAAAAGTTTCAAAGAACACAGACAGAAGAAACAAAGGCACGAGTCTAAGGAAAGAAGAAGAAAAATGCTTGCATGCTTGTTAGGAAACTTGTCTTAAATGGTAACATCAAACAGTTTCTGCAGGTCACTTTCTCTCATATCCTTGCAAGACATAAATAAAATTAATATGCATTGCAATTTGTTCTTGCAATGAAGAACCTCATAAAATAATCAGCATGTTTCCATTTTTTATATGAAGTTCCTCTAGCATGATATGTGTTATGTTTTACTTTGTTATGATAGAAGCATAACAGGAGCCATTAATGATGTTCACCCTCAGTGAACGGAAAATGAAAGTTTTGTTGTAATGAACTCATCACAAAATCGAAGCCGAAGCTTGTGGAATGTATACATCCTTTTGATAGCCAACATATCCTTTTAAAATGAAACATTGTTGCGATCTGCTTTCCATGTTTGTTAGTTAAAGTCCGGACACTGATCTACTAGACTAGGATTTTTTTTAAACTGCAAATTGACTGTTCTACATAATTCTTGAAGTAGCTTGATGCTTTTCTTGTCTGTCTAAATGATATTAATGAGATCCCAAAGTGACTCATGTGACAAATGAATTTGAAGTTAATCTTAGGATATAACTAAACCAAGCTTATCAGGGGAGAGAATTATACAGAAGAAAAAAATGGTTCTTCATTTCCAAAAGCTTAAAAGCATTTTGGTTGACCTTTGTAACTCTGATTACATGAAAAGTAAAAGCCTCACTCGACTTGCAGAAGTAGTAGTTAAAAAAAATCTGCCTTGCAATATTAGACAAATACCATCCAAAATATACTGCCACCAGCAGCATTTGAGTTTCTTTAGGTTGTCAACTGAATGCATGCACAAAGGAAAGGAAGAATTCCAAATTCTACACCACCAGAACACTCCATGTGCCGATCCTCACCAGGTATATTAAAGGTCATTTTCCACAAATTCTGGATGCAAGTACTTTTCACTTACATTACTTAAAACAATTGTGCTCTGCCAATCTATGAACTGCCCATGATAGCACCCGGGGAAATTCATCTAGTGAGTTTAATATGTTAATATTCAATGATTTTATCAGGCGTCCTTGTGTGGTTTTGAATAGAGTTAACAAAAGATAGTCAAAGATTTAATTAGAAGTGGGCTCTGTTGTGCAGTTATGCGCAATAACAGATGTAGTGTGTTCTGATGTGCAGTTATACTCAATAACAGATGTAACCAGCATGCACCTCTATTCACTGCTATCTATCAAGTACGATAGGAATCAGAAGTTCATGTATTAGGAGAATTCATTTCGTGATTTTTTTTATTCGTAAGGCTACTCATTTGGTTCTGTTCAATACCCGATGTAATCAGCATGTAGCTATATTCACTGTATTCTATCAAGTATGACAGTGATCAGAAGTTCATGTTAGTATAGTCCATGCAATCATTTGGCTATTTCTCAATAGCAGTAGTAGTAATAGTAAGGAATTTTATTTTGAATGAGTCATAAATTGTATACTTTAATATCTTGTTTGTCTCGGAGAGCTTTGCAGCATCAGTATATCTTGAAATACATTTACCACCTCAACATCAAAAAGTTCATGACATTAACTTTAAAAGAGAGAAAATCTTTACCACGCAGTGGTGGGACATGATTCCCTTGATCATTTGTGTCACAAGGCGGCCATGTGCTAGGAGGGCTTCCCGTGCTGCTACAACAATTATTTGCAACCATTGCTCCAGCAGGCCCTATATTTTCTGAACAAAAAAAACCATCAGCACTTTGTGCAGGATATATTTCTTTAATTTTAAAGCAGAATGATGAAAAATGATAGAGTTGCCTATCAAAGGCACGTCCATGAAATTCTAAAACCTTTTGCCATGTGCGCAATACGAGAATGAACTGGACTGTGGGCCCAAGAAGATATTGTTCCACTTGTACTGGAGTTCCTGAGTACAGAAGCTGAATCGGTTCTAGGAGCATAGCCTGGCTCAAGCAGACAAGAAGAAACTTGAAATGCTGTAGCAGGTTGTGGCAACAGGGGAGCTGCAACATTTTCATAATCTGGTAAGTTCCCTAAATACAAACTTTAGCAATTCCCAGAAATAATTAAGGCCCTACTGTTTCTTGATGCTTTCTGGGGATATGGATGAGCTGCTTTGCGTTTAGGACGAGGAGGAGGAACGTGTTCACTTGTTCCATTCTTCTGAACCTTCAGAAAGTATTTTTGTGCATGGCTCCTTATCTGCAATAAATGGATGTTACCTTAGATTTTATATAGCAAATAAAAAAGGTATAAAAAGTATTTAAGGAATCTATAACCTGTTAAAAGGACTCTCCACGTGGTTGAAGTAAATGCACCCAAAAAAAAACCAACATGATGAATATGTCTACCACAATAAATAATAAAGTTCTTTAAATTTTTCTACTTATATATGTTTCAAATAGTTGCTTTCACGCAGCCATATGCAATCCATATTATGTGTACAAATATAAATTTAAAGTGGCTATGGGTCATGACAAGCTCTATGTGCTTAGGCCAAACACGATAAATAGAGTAACAGTCTAATAAACTAATACTAGGTTCCAGTAGATGCAAAATATGCTAACACAAACAAAAAAGAAGGATGTCAGTAATTGAAGAGCAATGTCTACAAATGATGATCATGCCACAACAGCATTGACGATGTTAATTATGGCAGAAAGCCAAATGACAAGTTTGGCTGCTGACCTGCTAGTTGTTGACATAGAATTTGTTTCTTGCTAAAGAGTATGGACAAATACATCACCTTCTCAGATACAATTAATCTCTCACGATATGATTTTATTCTTCATTATTAACTTTAGACACTGTAGACCATCACATAGTCTGCACTTCTTGCTCTTTAGAAAGATGAAGGAACTTTGTGGTCCTTGAGAACAAAATTGAATTAGTCTAGATGAGGAATCTCATCAGTATTACACGTCAAGTTTTTTACTTCATATCGGAACAAGTGGGTAACAGGTGAAGACAGAACCAATAGTACTGCAACGGAAAACAGTGGATAACAGGTGCAGACAGAACCAATTTGAACTTCGGAGGAAAACAGTGGATATTAGGTGAAGACAGAAATAACAACACCTGTTCTACCAAGAATCAGATGTCAAATACATCCTCTCCCGATAAAGAGAAGTTGTAACATTAAAGCCTTCAAAAAGCCCAAACCTCACACCTGTCTGCAAGCTGATTGAGCGTCCAGGAAGAATTTGGATCATATATAAAGATAGATCATGCATTTATAATAGTGTGTGTGGTTCTTTTGCATGTCTGTAAACAAATAAGTTAATTCAAGCTTAGTTTCCTTTAGCTGACATGAACATAATATTGTTTAGCTGACTTTAAACTACTGGTTTTAGCATCATCTGACCAAGAAGTTCCGAGCTGACTTACATTCTGCAAAGTTCATTACAATTTGCATGAAGCCAAAACATCAAGGGCTTCTGCAGAAAAGTCCACTACATTGAGTTACTGTTTTATTAAATAGAACAAGCATCAAATGATATAGTGAAGCCCATAATACTGAAACAAACTCAACTGTAAGTCTTCAACGTCAAGGGATAGCACATAAAAATCCAACAAATTATTGTTTTCTTAAGTAGAAAAAGAACACAATCAACAGCAAAGCCCAGAATAGTGATTTACAAATTTACCATTTTAAGTGAAAGTCGGCAATAGAAATTGATGAAGCTGTTGATTCTTAATTCACTATTATGAAAATTAATAAATTATGAAGGGATATTAGAAGGAAGAGAAATGAATGAATGCTCAATGCTACTAGATTCGTCGTCAATTTTGATTTGTCGTATTGGCAGGCAGATATGGGGGCACAGTGGTTTGAAATGTACACAGAAAGAAGCAGATAACCTTACTTAGAGATCAATATGTGTGCATGTGTACAAACAAGTGCCACACACACATATGTTGCAACACGTAAAATAAAGGATCAAGACAAAGAACCTTTCCGCGCATATTTTAATACCTATGAAGGCCCAATAGCTACAGAAAGCAACTAATTTAGTGAAAAAACATGAGCAAAATTCTAAGTAACTTCAATAATAAAGTTCAAACTCTGAGCTCTTAAGACAACAGTGTTCATGTCGATGATTGCATAAGCAGCGTAATATCAAAAAGCTACACACTAGAGTGAAATACATCAAATAGCTAATTTAATCAGCTAGTCATTTTACTACTATTCCTTTAGTTGGATGATGAGTATCTCTATCTGTCTTCTCAAGTCCAAGCAGCAACATATGGAAAGAGAAATTCTTTTACTTCCATATACAAATGTAAACCAACTTTTAGACACTTTTACTGACATAAATGATCTACATAATTCTAACTAACCCAAAAAAAACATGGGTGACAAAAAGAATTACCTGGATAACAGTCTTTGAGCCCACAAATGCTTCAATTTTTTTCCAGTCGCGATCGAAACTACAACAATGGAAAAGAAGACAAAACATAACAATTGAGTCAAAAAGTAAATAAGGAGAAGGTAATATTAGCTGAGCGGCTGAGCCTAGGGTACATCTGAACCACTAGAAACATATTATTACCCAGACCATTGAGAACCATCTGAATAGTCAATTTAAGTTTAAATCTACATAACCGCTATAAAACTAAGCCTAAGCTGGCTTGGAATTACATGCAAGTCTTAGGAGGTGAAAAAAACCAAAGAGAAAGATCAAGTGAAGGACAGATGTAGCTCAGAATCACATGCAAGCTTTAGAAGGTCAAGAAAAGGACCAAGGATAATCTTAGATTTTCAAATTGGCATAGTTGAAATGCGTAAATTGATAATTCAGATATTAAACAGCATGCATATATATGTATATGCCTGTGAGTGTATTTGTGTCAGTGTGTACATACTACACAAGTAGAAGTGACTTAAATCCTCTCAGGAGATAATTAAGCTAGTTATAACCACCTACCAAGGTGCCTAAGCTGTGATAAAATTGGAAGGCCAATGCACCTATTTCAATTTAATGTGGCAAAACCCCTTATCTTTCATGTTCATTAATGGGACATCGTTGGTCTGAAAATTTCAGTAGCCTCTTGTTATCAGTAGTGGAGCTGCAAATTGTGTTATTTTCAGAATTTCATTTTCGTGCACGGGATCTTCCCACTTGGCTAAATTTAACATGCCCTTATCAGTTATATTATCATCCATTTCCTACACCAAACTTCTTGAACAGAGAAGAAAATCACTTCATTCCAACATATGATACCAATTATATCTGACTGTCTTATATCTTCAACTATACCACATTAACTATAACTTTAAATCAGAAGTGAGGGTCCCTGTCAAAAACGAATGTTAAACTAAAGTCCACCTTTCATATGATAATCATTAGATAAGAAGAAGAGGTATTTTACTGGAACCTACAAAAAAAATTATGTATTTCTTTTTCACCTATAATGCAAAACCTAACTAATCGATACAGCAAAAGAGACTGAATATCTGAGAGCACAATTTGAAGTCATCCTAAGCGTTGTAGCAACTTAGTGCCAACAGCCAGAAGACTCACGTAGCGCACGATTGAGATACATAGTAAACATTGAACCTAGCATACAAGTAGTCGGAACCAAATAGAGGAAAGTGTGAGCAAACACCCCAACTGACAACATCTTGATCTTGAAACCTGTCTTTAATGTTGCTTTAATATTTCCCGCAGTGTTAGTTGTTCTTCAGGCCTTGCCTTCATATTCCCCCACCGTCAATTATCTACCCCCACCATCCCATGGGTCCTACGCCACTGCATACAAGCAGCTAAAACCGCACAGCTACAACACTGGGTGTCTCAGTCGCCAAAACATTGTTTTATATAAAACCCTCAAAATTAAAATTCTACAGAACCAGGAGAAAAGCATAATACATAGCTTCTGACAACTTTGGAACAAATGCACCAGACTGACTGTATCCACAAGCCTTCCTTCCATAGTCTATCTATCAGGTCTGCTTCCTTCTTAAGTATGGTGAATACATTTTATTTGAAAAAGGTTTCAGAAGATGGTTTCAAATTGCACAATACAAGTTATTCCTTAATTTTGGCTTCACAGAAGAGAAAGATTCTTTTAACATTAAATAGAAAACAAAAAAGTTCTTGGCAGTCCTAACTGTTTCAAATCTGAAGATATTCATTGAACACTAATACTGAATGAAATTTAAACTCTTAAATTCGTTTGATGTGTTGGACATTCCTATTAAAGCCTCTCAATCTTGGGGGCCCGAGAAGATCCTTAAGGCAATATGTGGATCAATTGGTTGAACTTAAGGTGGATAATGGAGTTGTATAATGGAAAGGCCTTCTCCTTCCTTTAGCTCCAAAGCTGCATATAACGTGTTGATTCTTTTCAAAAAGTTAATTGGAGAAAATTGGTGTGGAGTGGCATGAATTTGCCTAGGCATTCTTTCATCCTTTGGTTGGTTTGCTATGATAAGTTGCAGCCATTGTTATCAAAAATGTGCACCTCATCGCACCTCATGCACCTAGCGCGAGTTCGCTCCGCACAGGACGCATGCAAGACATAGCCTTATATATTTTTCTTCTTTAACATTTCAATCATGTATTTGTACTTGACAGTCTGTATCCAAAAAAAGAAAAAGAAAACCATAATACCATTTTTACTAGCCCAATTTAGGACCCTAACTCGTTCTCTTTTACTACTTTATATTGCTTTGATATTGGTCTTGATTTGACTTTTGATTTATAAGATTATGAACTTCACTACTATGTTGGTGTGCTAGCATTATAAATTAAGGCCTTATTTTGTTATTCTTTAGTAGATATTATTTGTCTTGGCATATTTTTTACGTCAAAATTCAATAAAATGTTTTTTCATACTTGATTATCTATCTTGAAAAATTATGAGCAAGGTTGTGAATAGCGAATAGCATCGCGTAGCAATGAGATACCAGCATGGTTATTTGCGGCTATTAGCGGCAACAAAGCAGCAAAAAATGTAAAGCCAACTAGCGATCTAATTTAAATATATATAAATAGTCAAAAATAAGAAAATTTTAAAAAGTTAACAAATGCCTATGGATAATTTATAAAGGACTTGGTGAACATCGAGTTGGCAGAGGTGGCGGAGAGACAAGAGAGGTAGTCAGAGAGGGGGGGTTTTGTGATTGAGGTGTAGTAGTCGGAAAGAGAGAGGTAGAGGTTGAGATGGAGGCAGACGAAGAGGGGTTGAGGTGAAAGAGGATGAGTTTGAGGTGTTGTAGTCAGAGGGAGAGGGAGAGGAGGAGGGTCACCGACGACGAAGTTGGTAGAGAGAGGTAGTGGAAGAGGTGGCGGAGTCAGTGGGATTCGTGGGATAAGGGCTTTCTTTTTATTTATATTTTGGGGTCAAATCGAGGGGGGTTGACGAAGTTAATGGGAGTTTTAGTTAAGTACGGGTCGGGTTTGGGTCGTATATTAAATTGAGATCCATAATTAAAAGAACTTAAAAGCGTTATTACATGTTATACGCTGCTATTGCGGACAAATAGCACAAAGAGCACTATCCTCCACCACTTTTGTCGAAAGCGTCATGGGTAGTGGGCGCAAATGTTATTTGCAATGCTATAGAGACGCTATTGGCCGCTATTTTCAACAATGATTATGAGTGAAGCATGCGCCTCTCTTCACTTGGGCGCACGTATCACATGCATGTGCGCATTAAAGGACTTTGTGCCTCGCACTGTGCATTGATAACACTGGTTACAAACTAGGATGAATCTCAAAAAAGAGGCTTAGATATAAATGTTGTGCTCTTTATGCAGAAATACAAATGAAATTAGAGAGCACCTCTTTTTTATTTGAGAGACTTTGGCAATCTATTTTCTATATGTTCATGAAGGTCGATTTTTTTGCTATTGGAGTTTGTTTTATTCATGGATCATTAGACATTAGGGCTGAAGGTGCTATAGCAAAGTTTAAGCACGTTTGCTATTAGTTTATATACTATATGGCAATCTAGGATTGTCTTGGTTTTCAGAAAGATTCAACTTAATTTTGGGAAGCTTATAATATAACTAAGTTCTTCTTAAAGATCTAATTGTGTAAAATTGAAAAGTGGCTTGTTCTACTTACAATAGACAATGGTTTCTCCGATTTTGAATTTATACTATGTTCACCAATAGTGCAAATAATAGTGGAAGATCATGAGTTCTTGGCTTGGAGTTTTGAGATCTTTTGAATATGTGTCGTTTTGGTATTTTTATGTAGTGCATTGTTATGTTTGGGTCTTGATTTGATAGTGTTTGCTGGTGCTATAACGTTTTGTGAGAGCTTTGATTTTTCTTTGAGGTAGATATCTTGTATAGAGTAGAGAGCTATATAAAGTTTTTGTTTAGAGTATGTACTTCATCTTCCACTTGGTAATGAAATATACTTCCAAACCAAAAAAAAAACTTTTAACTCATGCTAATAACCAAACTCCACATCTACAAGATGACGGGTCTCTACAATCTGAGAAATATGGAGTGCTATGGTTGGCAAGATTCAAAGAGTTCCCGAAGACATATATATGCTACTTATGGAGGATATGGGTGTCAAAACATTTGATTTCCCAGAATGTCCTTAAAAATTCATCCAAATCATCACATTGCACTTATAGTCCATTCAATACATACAAATACTTGTATCTAAGTTTTTTTTTTCCAACTTCTCATACAAATACTTGTATCTAATTTTTTTCAACTTCATGGAACTTTATAAATTCTAATAGCCCTCTTTTCTTCAAAATGAAGCAAATTTCCTAATGATAATGAAAGGAAGGGTGCTCCCTAGAAGGAAGTAACCTGGTTCTCAAACAAGTTGAGATTAGACAATATAAGTTCCTAAGGCACCATTAGAATCCAAAAGATACCTAATATCCAAATATGACACTCTTAGGCACCAAATTCAAATTAAAGAATATATGCTAAAATGTCCTCCAAATTCAAATTACAAAGTCAACAAACTTTATGTTTAAAGCTGTCATTACAAAGTTCAAGTTCAATTTCAATTCAACATTATCATACTCAATCTCATTCAAAGTATATTATTAAGTATGCAATTCTAAATACAAATCTATTTATGACTACTTTAAATAAACATGCAAATGACATGAAGATGATAGTACTTTGACAAATCATAATAAGTGACGATACTATGACAAATCACCAAATTTATGGTGGTCCCACAAGCTTAACTATCCATTAATTGAACTTTGCTCATAACCGTTGTCCACTTCTCCATTCCTCACTAATCTCTAAAAATTGCACCATCATCTTCATTTAATGACATCCAATTAAACCCTTCATCCCTCTAACTTCTCTACTATAACCCTCTCCTCTACTAGTATCAATTTATCATCCTATAAAACTAGGTATCACCACTGATTTGTTATTTAGTGCATCGCTTACTTGGATTCTGATTGTATAGTCCGCTTGGAGCTGTACATAGCATATCTTTCCCGAGAACTTTTCAACCTTGTAGTGAACTGGAATTCTACTATGTCATCTCAAGCTCTTTGAAGTAGTGTTGTTCTTTGTTTGTTTTCTATGGACTTCATTTTTTTCACTTATAAACATGTGTGTATCTTAAAATATAAGTTGAACCTGAGAATATGCGTAATTTTTATGTCTACCTTCTTCTTTAATGCTTTCTAAAGTTCTTTGCTAATGTTTAAACTTGACTTCACCAAAGAAGAGTTCCCCTATGAAATCTTATAGTCACTCTTTCAAATATTTTATTATACATATAATGTTATTTAATTGCACGGCTCAACATTTATTATATTCTTTAATTTATTGAAAATTTTCATGTCTATAGTTTGAGTCATCCCTTGGAGAAGTGCAACACATATCGTTTTAAATGTCTAATGTCGGGTTTATGTCGGATGGCTAAAATTTATTTTGGATAGCGAAAATGGGGGTTATGCCCGGGGATATGAAAAAAATATCAGATTGCCATAACGGATGGTGTTCATGTGTAATATAAATTCTATTGTCTAAACATATAAAAAAGTAAATAATTTATGATGCTTAGGATGAATGTTGAAGGAAAGGTTTGAGAAAAGAGAAGCATAATGTTTGCGGTAACGGAGAGAGAAGATTGTCCAATATTGATGTCGAAGGAACAACTCGGAGAATAGATTGATGAGATGTTGAAGAAGTGAGAGAAGGGGAGTGATGGAAATGACTTCGGTCTTTTTTTTCCTAACTGATCGGGTTTTATCTTTACAAACAATATTAAGTCAATCAGGAATTTAAACCTAAACCTGATTAAATAAACATAACAAAAAAAATCAACCAATTTTTTAGACTAAAAAATCACCCAATATAGCCGACATGTCCCCCGATATATCCGTTCGACATATCCGACATGTCCCTTGCTATATCCGATATGAACCCTAAAAACATAATATGTATTGAAAAATTTCATATCGTGTCGATTGGCACCTACATCCGCTATGTCCGTCAACATGTTCGACAAGTCCGACCTGACGGCCGACATTTAAAACACTGGCAATACATGCGAATGATTTTATTATCTAAATAGTTCTAGAAAGGGCATTGAAAGAGCTTGCTTAGCTTCAAGAGTTGAGCACATTTTGCTATTGTGCTCAAAATTTTGTCTTTAAGTAAATTTACCTATGATAAAGAGCTAGAGAAATTTAGTCTAGTTGTTCTTTATGAATATTGCTACCGTTTAGTATGCTCATTGTATCTTCTAGCCTTTTTTAGCATCATCGAAGACTAAGAAGAGTTTTCCTATGGATCTTGACATGCTACTAATATGATTAAGATGAATTTTCGTTGACTTGGATGCTGTCAGTAATTTGCCATGTTATTTCATATCTGATTTGAAATTATTTGGTGTGGATTGAATATTCGTAAGTGTGAATAATTATCAAATTAATTTGTTTTCATTGTATGCTCTTTCTAACGACTTCTAGGGAGATTATTTGTTGTTGAAATAAACATTTCACGATCTTGAATGAATTTCACCCTCCCTCAATAACTAAAAAGATGCTTCCAACAAATGTTAAGAGGCATGTCTCAAATTTGTTATATGTTAATATCCATATATAAGCTTTTGTAATTCATAAGTACATAGGATACATTTCATTTCAGTACAAAATTGTATGATAAAGCTGTGAGAAATTAGAGTAAAGTAATGGAGACAACATGAGGAGACTCCAAACAAACTAGACGTTCATAGGAAAATAAAGTTGTTTTAATACTAGTCCCTCGAATCTCTCATTATTCTTTAAGAGGTTAACTTGCATTCCACTACAAACAACTACAATTGAAGGAATTTCCCCCATTCAAATGAGTATTTTCTAGGGGGGACTAATTTCAGAAAATTTATGTAATTTAGGGGCCCTAATAGAAATTTCAATAATTAGGGGCACTGATCTTAAAATATGAAAGATTTAAGGGACTCATATTGAAATAACAAAAAAATAATGAATAAATGATAATTAAAAAGGAATTAATTTTTCTACATTATTCAATGAAAGCAAGCTCTTAAAGGATTACAATCATTAATAGGCAAAATTCCAGGAAACCCCCAATAAGTTGGTGTTTTTTATGCATCCTCAAAAATTTCGGAAGTATTCCTTAAACACCAATAAGCTCTGTTAGAAAACCCTAAAATTAGCATCGTTAGATCTGACGTCTCACATGCATATCATGTGCCGCCCAATGACTAAAATACCCTGTAACTTTTCACATTATTCAATTATCCTCACACCGTTCTTACAAGAACCCCAAAGTAGAGCAGCGAACAATTTGGATTTTTTTATTAATATTATGATTCGGATTCGGAGGGGGTTATATTTTTGTAACAGGTTCTTTAAGTGGGTGGCAATCTTTCGGTCAACCGATCACTCATCATGACTCATATTTGATTTACTAAATTGTTTCTACTCATTCTGCTTTAATATTTACAAACTATTATGTAAACACCCAAAACTTCTTCCCAATGCTTTATTTAAATTTTTATTTTTTCTTTGAGTTACTGACTTACTCCTCATTTTCCTATGCTTAAAAAGAAAAGTAAAACAAGTATATCCTCATGCAATGCACGTGCACTATACTGGTTTCTCAATAAGTTGCAGTGACTAAACAGAAATTTTCACAGTAAGATTTTCCAACAAAAACAATCATTATTGTGTGAACTAAGAACTTAACCTATATTGGTTCAGACAGACGGCAGAGAGCAATAAAAAAGAATCAAGCAAACCGGCAATAACCCTTTTTCCCTAACAAGAACAGGGAAACCAGGTAACCCACTTTCTAACAAGAACACCTATCCTTCAAACCCGCCACGAAACCTCTTCAAATTAGCTACTCCCAATCTCAAAAGCCTAATTCCTCAAACTCCAGAACCTAAATTCCCAGCTCAGTCCTAGGGCAAAGCCCTAAATCGAATGCGCACATCGGCCAATAACCCAAACACCCTAATTTCAAGCTAGACCTAGAGAAAATCTAAACTCACAGCTGAAGGGCCTCGAGAAATTTGTCGTGCTCCTGCTCGGTCCAGCTCTCCCTCGATTTGGTGATCGTATAAGGCTTCCTAATCTTCTTGGGAGAGAAACGTCCATCGCCTGTTGCTCAGTGATGAATCCTGCACTCGCCGGACCACCACTGCTTGTTGCAGGGATAGCAGGCACCATAAAGATTTGAGCTTTCTCTTGAAAGGCTCTCTACTCTTGATTTGGTTTTTTTTTTCTTTCTTTCTTTTTTCCCCCTCTTTTTAAAGGAAATCGCTGAGGGACGAGAAGGGGGATATTGGTGGACGCAGGGCTCCGGGACTGTGGAATGTGGGGGCGCGTTGGTGTGGGTTTGTGGACTGAAAATGGTGGGCAGGGCTTTTGGGGTTAGGCCGCATGAAGGCCGCACAATCTAGTGACAGCGAAGCGATGGCTTGTGTTGTGCTGAGTAAAAGGGATTAAATTAATAAAAATAACGGGGACGTCGTGGAGCCTTTGCCGTATTTCGCTGGTGTACACTTGGAAGATTGGAGTCAGCGTCAGTCGGCCCCAGCTGCTGCCTGGTGGCTTTGCTCGCTGGGCGTGGGACCTACTGGGTTTCTGTTGCGACCGTTTGCTCTTTCCGCGGAGGTAAATTTCTACTTGTTCGTGTTCGTTTCGATTGTTTTTTATAGTAGCCTTCCGTATAAATTTTATTTACTTGTTCTGGCTGAGTATTTGGAGGGCTTCAGTCGGAATATCTCGCGGGAGTAGTAAATTACTAATATTCAGATTAGTAATTCGCGCATTCCCATGATGATAGGGTAAGTTGAGCTGGTGGGGGCCATGGAAGAGGTAATGTGAATAAGGATTTCTTCTGAAATAATAAATCGAAAGTAAAGCTATTTTCTTTGGAACCAGGGAAAATGTAGGGCATATTTAAAAAGAAAGAGTTGGGGGCATACTTTGCAACTCCTCAAGATGGAACTAGGTTTTGCTCTAGTCTTATTTTGAGGAGAAAATTATTTAGGAAAAAATTTAAATGGGTTCCTTTTTTAGACCAACCCCTTTTTTGGTAACTATTTAAAACTGGACTAGGCTTGTACCTGGACTAGTTTTGGAGTATTTTGTTGATTGGTAAAAACTAGGTCACCAGCTTGGTTTAGTTCAATTTTAGGCCTTTAAATCAAGTTCAGCCCAATTCTAGTGAGTTGCCAAACACACCTTTCTCAGAGGAATTAGACTGATAATCTCATCTAAGAAAAGAAGAGAATATTACATTTGTTTACACCTGATTTTTGGGGTAGACATTGGGTAAAAAAAATATGTAGGTTAATCGAGAGGAAATAGATTGATAACTTTAAACGTGAGCAAAAGGAAATCTTATATCTATTTACACCCCTTTTTATGGAGTATACGTTAGCTAAAAAATATGTGGGTTAACTGATAGAATAAGCAAAGACTCAACTGCCATGTGACCATCAGCTAGACACGCATAGGTAGGATTGACCCAGATTAGACTTCCAAAGACCATGTTTGCTTCCGAGAAAACGAAGAAGATCCCACTTACGAACGAATGTGAATAATTAGTGACCCTAAAAACACAGTGTTCATAGGGATGGGTGGTTAGTGGTTAACCTATAGAATAATGGGCGAGTAGTTATAGAGATGTTCGAGGCTCCTACATATTTGATGACAACAAAGTAGGGGTGTCCATCCGGCCCGTCCCGGCCCGGACCGGCCTGGCCCGGGAAACCGGA